TTCATTGTAATTTAATGCAGTGAAAATATTTCCTATTTTAAGTTAAAACAATTCAATTCTAATAGCTCCATCCTGGTTATTACATTCATAGGTGACAAAATTTAGTGTTTACGAGTGTAACAAAATGTTGTATTGTAACTAAAGTATTTTATTTATTTCAAACAGAACACAGGCACACTCACTCACAGACCTGGATAAAAAACAAATTACAAATAAGACAAAATAAATAAATTAAATCAAAACAGAAATACATAATACATTACATAGTTTTAAAATTCCTTGACAAGGCAAATTTAATTAAAACTTACAACTAGTGGAAAAATGTTAATATTGCTATTTCATTGTAAGATGACAATTTATTAAGGTTTCTTAAAAATATACACGGAATACAAAAACAAATTTGACCTAAATGACTAGAGATGTCATAGTGGACGTTAATAGCTTTATGTACAAAACACAACTCAATGGATCTTCTTTTAGTATGTAGCTAGGGAATATTTAAAATGTAACAATATATGAACTCTGACCTAATAGCATGAATATGTATTAGTAACTAGTGAGCATGTGCATGTTTCGTCATCAAAGCAACATTGTGTATGATTACCGGGGGGTATATGGTTAAATGTTATAGAAACTCTGCTGTGGTGTTGGTTAGTTACTCAATCAACATAAAGAGAAAATATTGAAACAGATATCCACATGGCAAATAAAGCCTAAAACTACATTGAACACTTTGGAATGTATATTCAAGATTGGAAAATTATGGTAAGAAACATAGCAAAAGTGTGAAACAAGAGAGGTTACCCTATGATGTCATTCTAAGTCATCATCAGATTACTTGGCATTTCATCTCTTCAGTTTAAACATGTGGAAGCATTTAACTCAGTGTACTGTGAATTTCCGGGATGTTTGAGTGTTTACATGTACATGTAACTGGTAAATATTTTAAGAATGTTGCAGTGAGGAGGTTTTCTTTATGAAAGTACTCTGGAAGTTTCACCATTTTGATGTAGAAAAAAAGAAGCAGAATAAATACTGCCCTCTAGCAGCATATTTTGTAAACTTTTGTTTATTGTAAGTTTCAAAAAGAAATAGACTTGATCAGCAACACCAGTGTTCATTTCTGCTTCCAAGGCAAAATATCTATATATAATCCCCACGATATTTTTTCATAGGTTGATGTCAGTAGACGTGGATGGTTACTGTCAGAGATTTGTATCAATCTGAGCCGCTGGCCAAGATTGACGCTACTCTGGCGGTGATCACATACAATGAAAAAAGTGACATAACACTGTGGCGATATGCGTTTTTGTTCTGCCCAGTCTTAAGTGTGGTGATAAGCAAGTTATGCATGAGATAAACATATTTATTTAGAGACAAATAAACTTATTGTTAAAAGTATCTTTATTTTATAAGTTTACTACCTTTGCGACTGCCAACCTGGAGTTAAATTGCAATTATCTCAGTGATGAGAAGACAATGACACTGTAAGTTTTATAATCTGATCATGCAGGTTTTTTACTATTACATTTGTGAGTTGAATAAACTTCATTTTCCTTTTGCTGCTTCTAGTTCTTGGCACAGGGCTTTGAACAAGTATATTTTTTTATCTTTTTCTCACATGACAGTTATATTGTATTAAAAAGCATTTCATCAGTTACAGGGGTTATTATATCATATCAGTGTCAGCCTAACTTTCATGTAAACCTGTACAATGATTTCAGGGTGTTGTCCATACCATATTTATCAACAGAAATAAAACCTCCCCATCCTATTATACTAGTATTATGAATCAGTAATCTCGGACTGCATAGACCATACATGTATACGTGTTGATCAGAACCAAAACATACCAGCGTTTTCAAACAAAGTTTACATAACCACTAGATCTAGTATCATTTTGCTGTAATGCTACTTGCACTGACCACTAGTTCTGTGTTGATTTCAACACCCATACATAGATTTACATACAACCTAACAAAGTACATAATGACAGAGTGCAAATTTTCAGATTAGTAGGGGTGCAGAAAAAAAGCCTCAGTTAAAAAAACACAGAAAATGATGTCCCAAAAAAGAATTATCTGTGATTTGATTATCTTTACTTTTTAATTTTACCACGACTTTTATTCATTCTGAAATTTTTTCTACATTCTATCAATGGAGATACATTTGAATCTATAGACAGTTCACATAAAGCCATGACACCTGAATTCCACAACAGGGCTGGCAATAATATGCTGACTGTAAGCTAAGAAGGACGCTTGACTTACCCTAGAAGTACAGATGACTTCTCTAAGATGAATATTCATCCAATTATCACACGATACCAAATGACCGTTATATGTTTCACCATTCTTCAACTCAACAAGCTGTAAATAAACAATGAGGTATTTCATAATGTACAGTTCAGCTACAGTACAGATACCATGCAACATATCATTATTTTCACATTTGTACTATGCGTTTACTGCATTGGAATCAGGTATTTATTTATTTTCACATCACTTATTGATTGCATTTGGATTGCACATTTATTGTCTTTCCCTCGTTATGCCTGCATTGTATATTTTCCGTTATAAGCACTGTAAGCACAGTCACGCATATCCCAGCAACATTATGTTGTTTAAAGTGTAGGTCAAGAATATTCAAGTCTTGGGCTGTAATACTTTTAATAAACATTTTAATAACATTCTATGCGTGTTATTTTTTTGCAATTCCTGTGACATAGAACTATTACACCATTGTGAATATTTACGGACATAATAAACAATGAGCAAACATAAAATGTATTTCTGTTGAAATATAATTTAATAGGCTAGGCTCATTTACAGTTCATCTTTATCACCATTTCTCTCACTATAACCTTGGTTACCGGTAGTTTGAATTTGGTTTGGTCTTGAAGCCAGGTTTGGTGCATTGAAGCCAGGTTATTTTTGAAGAAAATTTGCTTAGTGATTAACATGCATCAGTAAACTAAATATTTCACCAACACAAATGTTATAAACAATTTTATTTTTCCATTATTTTTGTTTGTACTTTATTATTTAGTTTGTCAGTTTTGTTGTTTTTCCTTGGTTATTTTTTTCTCATTTTGTTTGTCTTTCTTCACATCTGTATTGCATATTATTCAAAATGCTAATAGGGATACGAAAGCAATAAAGATCATTATTCAAGTCAGAGGCGGGGTCTTAATAAACGTTTTCCCAGGAATGTGAGTGGTACCGAGAATTTCGCCGGATTTGTAATGAAACCTAGAAAGGGAACGGAATCAATTCCTTGTAATCAACACGGACACTTACCATTGGGTGGTTAACAGCCGTCCGAAGTAACGATAACGGCAACTGAAAGTAAATTTTTAGCACATGATTATTCTTCAAATAATAACGCAATAAAAACGAGTGCAGCGAAAAGTTTCGGATAGATAACACTATTAAAACGAATTAACAGTATTTTTACCTACCATTTTGTATATACTGTCGTACACTAACACTCAAAATGGCCGCCATACGCATGCGCCGAGTAGAAGTCGTAAACTGTTACAGTAAAATGATTGAAAAATGCTTTTTTTCTTCAATAAACCCTCCTCCAAATAATATAACATAACAATTTGACATATTAACAACAGCTGTTCTTGGTATCCGAATATTAAGTATTTGAGCCGGATTACGTAGAAAATGTTAGAGCCGTAAAAAGGTGACAACAGATTCTCCCTGTCAACTTCCGGGTTTAGTGACATGTGCGCTTTTATTCGTACATGTACAAAGTACTAAGTAACACGTTTTAAATCAGAACTTTTTCAGCCTTTTTCAAGATGAGCTCAAAAAGAAGTATTAGTCTTGAAGATGGCACCGCTGTGGATAGTCCAAGCAACAAAACACCAAAGAAGTCAGTCACGAAACTAAACATTTTGCAACATCAAGCCAATATAAATGGAAAGTATTTACAAAAGAACCATAAACAAATTATCACAGACGCTTTTCAAGATCATAAACATTGTGAAATTGGTAAGTAGTGTAAAATGATGGACACTCTGTATACGATTATAATGACAGTCACCTCGATCACAGTATCTGTTATATCCAATATTCGCATTTCAACAAATTGTGTTATTCAATTCAAAGTTTGACAAAAGTTGAAAAAATTTGATAATTTGTCGCCAGTATATTATTCAAAGTTTGAAGAAACTTGGTCAAAATTTTTCTGAAAAAAAGTCGTTGGATATATCTGATTTATTGGATAGTTTTGGCATTATTCAACGGGCAACAAAATAAAAGAAGAAAAGAAAAGGAAAAATCATACATATCTGAAACTGAATAAAAATACAATTGACAAAAGATCTCATGGTGAATTCATACTACTTTCATTTCTATGTTTCCAAAGATGTTTAAGAAATAGTAATTTATGTCCTGTAACTACTGTGTTGATAGAATGTACTCTTTTATAAACTCAGCCAAATATCTCCACAATTTTTCAATCAATGAATTCTGTGTTACAGTATGCCCTCTATTTTTTCACTGCCAGATATTGGGTGGACGTGCTAACCATGGTTCTAGCCCCCCTATAACAAAGTATTTAATATGCAATGAAATATACAGTAAAATGGTGAACAACGAATAAATTTAAACTATTGCCATGGTAGCCATTA